AAAAAAAAAAAAAAAAAAATGAAACCCATTGCCATGGAGTCAATTCTAACTTATAGCGACCCTGTAGGACAGAGCAGAACTGCCTTGTAGGGTTTCTAGGGAGCGGCTGGTGAATTCGAACTGCTGACGTTTGGGTTAAGTGAGAAGAGGAAGGGCTTCCAGGAGTTGAGTGGGGAGACAGCGTGTGGGTGCAAAGCCTAGGGGGCCGCGAAGAGGGCGGAGCAGACCTGTGTCTCCCAAGAGTGGAGGCTGAGGGATGTGTGAGAGGGGCATTCCCATGCCAACTGCAGGCCTCTGCCCCGTTAGGTGGGGCTCCTTTGCTTCCTGGCTGGGCTCAGGCTCTGTGGCATGCCCCTCCCATCCAGCAGATCCCTCCTTGTGGCTGATGCTCAGGGCCCAGGGAGGAGTCAGGTGGACCATTTTCACTTCCGCCAGGCTCCTGGGGAAGGGCCTCAGGGGTGAACCAGTCACCTCAGCCTCCTGATAAACATCCTGAAGTTAAATATCAGAGGGAGGTCTTGTACTTAAGGCAGGAACATGTACTTAAGACTTTGAAAAATGGCTCTCAGTTTTTAGTGTGCTAAGAATCACCTCCACCACCCATCTCCCAGTTTGCCATACTGCAGTGGCTTGCATGCTGCTGTGATGCTGGAAGCTGTGCTTCCAGTATTTCAGATACTAACAGGCTCACCCACAGTGGACAGGTTTCAGTGGAGCTTCCAGACTAAGACAGACTAGGAAGAAAGGCCTGGCAATCTACTTCTGAAAATCAGCCAGTGAAAACTCTATGGATTACAACAGGCTATTGTCTGATACAGTGTTGGAAGATGTGCCTCCTATCTTGGAAAGCACTCAAAATACACAGTGGCCACAACAACGGACTCAAGCATACCAACGATTGTGAAGATGGTGCAGGACCTGGCAGCATTTCATTCTGTTGTGCTTGCGGTTCCTATGAGTTAGAGCTGACTCAACAGCTGCTAACAACACTGACAAAGAATCACCTGGGGTACTTGTTCAAAATGCTGAGTTTCCCAGTCCTTCCTGTTAGAAACTCTTCATGAAGCAGGTTGGAAGTGAGGTGCAGAATCCACTTTTTTTTTTTTTTTTAATTTAATGTGGCATTTTCATTAAATTAACTATCAAAGCAGACAAAGAACTGCTAACGCAATTACAAAGAACCCATACCTTCACCAAACAGAACATTATATTAAAAAGGGAAAAATAAAAGGGACCAAATATTCTAGGCCAAGATGCACGTGCCCTTGGATTCACTGTGTGAATCTTGCCAAAGCAGCTGTCTTATCTTTCATTCTGCTCATACATTTGGACCACATTTTTTAAAAACAAGTGTTGTAGGGTAAACAAACATAGTCATTGTGTTTCTGGTAATCTACGTGAACACTTAGAAGCCCAGATCTGCACTTTTAAAAATATCCCAAGCGATTCTGATTCCAGGGGGCACTGACCCCGCTGAGAAAGACCTGGACTTGGAGGGTGAAGGGGTGAAGTCTGACACGTTAAGAAAACTGCTCTTCGGTTGTTGTTGAGTCGTTCAGATCTCAGTTTTCTTACTCTGTATGGATGTAGATATGGTAGGTATAATGTTTATGGAGCTGTCTTGCTGGAAGACAGATAATGAACACAGCAGTTATGTGCATAATTGCAGTTAATTATTATGTTGCGAATGTATGGTTAAACTTGATAAAGATTAACTTATAAAAACTCTTATTAAAAGTTCCCTGTTATTTGCCATTAATCACCACCGTGGCTTTCCTAGGGGAGTTTGTTAATTCATCCCCTTGATAAATGTGGAGCACCTGCATTGCGCTGGGAGGCAGGGGGACACGAGCCACCAGCTGCCCTCATGGGAGTTTGAGTCTGGTAAGGGAGTCAGATTGAAGAAATCCTTAAATAACCGTGTGCTTTTCAGTTTTGTGTAAGTTTATTTTCTTTAATCAAGCTCTGTGTTAGATTCATTACTAAACGTGATAATAATGAATTTATAAGTATTTACATATAACTAAGGGCATTGGTGGTTCAGTGATAGAATTCTTGCCTTTTATGCGGGAGACCCAGGTTAAATTCCCAGCTAATGCACCTCATGCTCAGCCATCTCCCGTCTGTCAGTGGAGGCTTGTGTGTTGCTATGACACTGAATGGGTTTCAGCGGAGCTTCCAGAGTATGGGAAGAAAGTCTTGGTAATCTGCTTCTGAAAATCAGCCAGTGAAAACCCTCTGGATCACAAAGGTCTAAGCTACAACCGATCATGGAGGTGGCGGTGGACTGGGCAGCATTTCATTTGGTTGTATGCGGTTTCACCATGAGTCCAGCCAATTCGAAGGCAGCTGACAACAACAACAACATTTACATATTAAATAAACACAAAACAAAAAAGAAAAACTTGTCAGACCGTATCTTGTGGGTTTCGGTTAAAGAAAGTAATTAACATACAGATGATGGACTCTCCAGGCACTCTCTAATGGGGATAGGAAGATATAGTCCAGAAATAATATACACTGTTGACTTGTGGAAACTCTGGTGGCATAGTGGTTAAGAGCTACAGCTGCTAACCAAAAGGTCAGCAGTTCAAATCCACCAGCTGCTCCTTGGAAACTCTATGGGGCAGTTCTGCTCTGTCCTATAGGGTCACTGTGAGTCGGAATCGACTCGACGGCAATGGGTTTGGTTGACTTGTAGTTTTTTTTTTATCAGTGAGTTAAGACTTCACCTCTAAACAGGTTTAATTAAAGTATTCTAAAGAATTATTGATATTTTTCCCGGATCATATCTCTGCCCCCGCCCCTCAGTTGTGAACATAGTACATTAGGAAAATTATACCCAAGTGCTTTCAAGCACCAAAAAAAGCAAACCAAACCCCTTGCCGTTGAGTCAATTCCAACTCATCGCGACCGTATAGGACAGAGTAGGACTGGCCCAGTGGGTTTCCAGGGAGCAGGTGGTGGATTCAAACTGCTGACCTTTTGGTTAGCAGCTGAATTCTTAACCACTGCACCAGCAGGGCTCCTTATCAAGCACAAATGCACCTTAATGCAGAATTCCCAAGGTGTAATGACTTGTGCCTAGCTGTTTCAGCATTATCTTTATGCTATTTTCTTGCCTGGAATTTGAGTACTCCAGTAATCCATGAGAGAACAAATCAGTGTGAAACAGTTGTCATCAATAACCTCGGCTTCCTGGTTCTCAGTGTTGCAGGTGGCGAACTATTTGACTTCTTAGCTGAAAAGGAATCTTTGACTGAAGAGGAAGCAACCGAATTCCTCAAACAAATCCTCAGTGGTGTGTACTACCTGCACTCCCTTCAGATTGCACACTTCGATCTTAAGGTATGTTGCTGGCGGTGAGCCTGGGAGAAGCATATGCAAACCACAGCGTTGTTTGTTTCTGAGAAAAATAGAGGCGTTAAATAAGCTTCTGAAAGAGATACTTTTTTTTCCTGTATGAGTTGATCAAACAGAATTATCGATATAAATCAGCAAGCAAATAATGTATGCCTGCTGCAGGGATTCCTAATCTTTTTGAGAGATAGAGGCTTAAGATGAATGATTATATTGTGGAATCTGTGGTGAAGAATGGAGGGGTTTTACCAGTGAGGTCTTTAAACAAGAGGACTGGTCTTGATTACTGGTGCATCTTCAGCCTGAAGTGGCCAGAGGCTGACACACTTTTCACCATCCCTGTGGCTCCTGGAGGTCCCTGGAGGGGCACAAGTGGCTTATGATCAGCTGCTAACCTAAAAGTTAGTTGTTCGAACCCACCCAAGGCATCACAGAAGAAAGGCCTGGCAATCTGCTTCCATAAAATTGCAGCCAAGAAAACCCTCCTTTGGAGCAGTTCTACCCTATAACACATGGGGTCACCATGAGTCAGAATTTGTCTGTGGCTCTTGGGAGGTAACCTGGAAGGTGACTTGAGCTGTGCTCTCCTTTCGATGCAAAGTTTATGGGCCTCACTCAATCAGATCAAACTCTGAGGATAGCTATTTGGGGTCTCTGCCTGACTGGAGGTAAGGCATGATGGGAGATAAAAAGGAGCGTAAGTTGTATTCCCAGCTGTCAAGGAGTTTATGGTCTCCTGGAAAGACAAGACGTGAACATGTGACACAGGAAGTGACAATGTAAGATTCCAGTCACAGTTCAAGACGGTGAGAAGAGATGTCACAAAGCAGGGTGTGTTCGACTGTCAATTGAATGATTCAGATAATTGGCGCTAGGATCAGACTTCAGAGAGGGGCGAATTTTCTCCATACTTACTGTAGCAGAGATAGCAAGACCCCATCTGAAAATCTGGCAGAGGATGTGGGTGATGGTTGCACAGCATGATTAATGCAATCAACATCACTGAATTGTACATGTAAAAAAAATGCTGAATTGGCAGATGTGTTATATATATTTTTAACATAATAAAAAAAGCCTGTCTGTATCCTCTCAACACACGCAGATGCAGACACCCCAAAGGCTGCTTACTGCAAACACCTGTGACTCTGTGGCCCTAGGAGCTGAAAATGCCAAAGAGTAGATGCCCACACAAGCAGCGCTCGACAGTGGAAGATGGGGAGATGGTGGATAAACCCCCCAACTTCCTCCTGCTTCCTTTTGGAATCACTCTGAGTTCTACTTTCTCCTCAAGTTCTCCAGAGGGATTTCGCTCCAGTCACCCACACCTTAATAAGACACCTTGCATCAGCTTCCTTCCTTCCTTCCTTTTCCTGTCCTCTCACTGTTTCCTGGGGAGACTTTCCACATACACCACTTGTACCCAAATCCTCGTCTCAGATTTGCTTCTGGAAAAATCCAAACCAAGACATTTCTTTTTCTTGGCATTCTCTTTCAACTACTCTGTCTCCCTAATTTTTGGTTGCTTTCTTTAGGGGAGGAGCCTGGTGGCACAGTGGTTAAGAGCACAGCTGCTAACCAAAGGGTCGGCGGTTCAAATCAACCAGCTGCTCTTTGGAAAACCTACGGGGGAGTTCTACTCTGTCCTATAGGGTTGCTATGAGTTGGAATCAATTTGACGGAAACAGGTTTTTCGAGGTTTTTTCAGGAGAAGAGAAGAATTATTCTGTCATCCTTGTCCTCACTATAGCGCATCATAGCTTGTTCTTTTTCTTTTTCTTTTTTTAAAGCCTGAAAACATAATGCTTTTGGATAGAAATGTCCCCAAACCTCGGATCAAGATCATTGACTTTGGCTTGGCCCACAAAATTGACTTTGGAAATGAATTCAAAAACATATTTGGGACACCAGAGTTTGTTGGTAAGTTTCTGTTATTTCTCATAAACATTGTGCTGCAAAATTTCCTCTGCTGGAGGACCATTTTCCCTGGCCCATGTTTCTGATTTATACATGAAGATAGACTCTGGTATGTGTCTCCTTCCCAGCTAAGTGTGTGTTTATTTCCTCTTAGCTCCTGAGATAGTCAACTATGAACCCCTTGGTCTCGAAGCGGACATGTGGTAAGGAGCGTGTCTGGGTGGTGGTATCTTTCTGGTTTGTTTTACTGTCCTTCTAACCTGTTTTGTTGTTTTTGTTTTTGTGTCTTAGGAGCGTCGGAGTAATAACTTACATTCTGTAAGTACCAAAATCAATAGCTCCCTTCTCAGCCTTTTTCTATGAGACCATATGTTTTATTAATCGTTAAATGTGTGAGGTTGATCTCCCCCACTTATGTGTGGTTTTTATGTAAACATAGTCATTTTACACCCCAAGAACACATTTGGTTTATGCTCATTCAACATTTTCTCCTAATTCTAAATGATTCATCAGAAACTATAGCATAATCACTTGAAGGAAAGCGTGGCTGTCTGTGACTGCTGAGAAAATAGGAAAAAGAGATTTTTAACTACGAGACGCTTTTCCAAATTAACTTTTTAAATGAGTCTTCTACATTATGCTGATGCTTTTATTCATGACGGTTAACTGTCCTATAAAATGTAATTGAATTCTAAAGTGCCTGCCCAAGGGCCAGAATATAATCTTATTCCACACTTCCCTTATCAGATATTACAGGAACAGAATGGCAACACGAGAGATCATTATGAATGTTCTGTGCCCCACTTTATTTCTAACAGCTTAAGTGGGGCCTCCCCATTTCTTGGAGACACAAAGCAAGAAACATTAGCAAATGTATCTGCCGTCAACTATGAATTTGAGGAAGAATACTTCAGTAATACCAGTGCCCTAGCCAAAGATTTCATAAGAAGACTTCTGGTCAAGGATCCAAAGTGAGTGTCTGGTATTCCCAAAAGGCGCTGCGCCTCAGCTAACTGAGCGTTGACTCTATTCCGCGTGAGCAACGGTGTTCCTCAGCCCCTGGGTGTTTCTGCCTGGCAAAGGGAAACACTTCAGAACATGCAGTGCCCTTGTCACCTGCTCAGTCCGTTTTTACAGGCAGCGTGAAATCATCACAGAAAGACCGATGTAGTTCTCGGCTTTCTCCCATGGAGCAGGCCCCAAGCTGCATTTTCTGGAGTGTCTGTGTGGTCAGCTTGGCCAGCCTGGAAACAACCTCAGTGTTTGCTGCTCTAGTCACAGCATTTTGGTTTTTTTCTCCCTCCTCTACCCCCAAAGGAAAAGAATGACAATTCAAGACAGTTTGCAGCATCCCTGGATCAAGGTAAATTACATTTTATGTTGCTCTTGAAGTGATTATAGCCAAAAACCAGACCAGTTGCCATGGAGTCGATTCTGACTCATGGCAACCCCGTGTGTGTCAGAGTAGAACTGTGCTCCATAGTGTTTTCAATGGCTGATTTTTCAGAAGCAGATTGCCAGGCCTTTCTTCTGAGGTGTCTGTGGGTGGACTTGAACCTCCAACCCTTTGGTTAGCGGCTGAGCATGTTAACCATGTGCAACACCCAGCAACTCCTGAGTATTGTAAGGCATAATTGAATTCATTTGTCCTAGAGTATTACAAGTTATTATGGATTTTAGCAACAGACCACATCTGGAATATTGTGCTTGCTGTTGTGCCATATTCTAAGAAAACTAACAGATTAGATTGTATCCACCTGCCTGCCAAAAGAGGCTTGCAAGTTGCTAAGATACTAAACAGGTTTCAGTGGAGCTTCCAGCCTAAGATGGCCTAGGAAGAAAGTCCTGGCGATCTACTTCCAAAAATCAGCTAGTGAAAACCCTATGAATCACAGCAGTGGGTCCACATCCAATCATGGGAATGGTGTAAATCTGGGCGGCAGAGTGTTCCATTATGCATGGGGTAGCCACGAGTTGAGGCTGACTCGACTGCAGTTAGCAACAACAACCAAATTGGAGGATCGGCCAGACTTACTGACCTCTGAGGTCCCCTCCGACCCTAGTGGTACAGTGGTTAAAGTGCTGGGCTGGTAACCGAAGGGTCAGCAATTCGAACCCACCAGCCGGTCTGCAGGAGAAAGTTGTGGCAGTCTGCTTCCATAAAGACTTACAGCCTTGGAAACTCTACAGGGCAGTTCTACTCTGTCCTATATGGTTGCTATGAGTTGGAATCAACTCTACAGCCATGAGTTTGGATTTGACTTTGGTTTGAGGTCCATCCCAGCTCTAAATTACTTGATTTACATTTAAGTTAAAATGTCTTGTAACGTGGCCTGGCTGTGAATCTTGCCATTCTCAAACTGTCAGTGTCGAAAGTTGTCAGTCAGCTTGGCTCCAAGTTAAACTTTTCTCTTCTCCCCAGGATCTAGTCTTTATGGCTCTCGAACCCTCAGCCACAAGAATTAGCTCCCCCCAAGACTAGGTTCCTAGGTTCTGCATACTAACTATCCCACCTTGGTAGGTTACTTGAGTGAGGTAAAGTGTGTGTCAACACACTGACTAATGAGCAGTTTTCAAAAGTTGCCATATAACTTATTACTGTAATTTGAGAGTTCTAAAACAATTTTTTTTTTCTTGGACTTTCATTTTAGCCTAAAGATACACAGCAAGCACTTAGTAGAAAAGCATCAGCAGTAAACATGGAGAAATTCAAGAAGTTTGCAGCCCGAAAAAAATGGAAAGTAAGATTATTTGATATGGAGGGGTTGGCAAACTCTGTGTCCTCTGCAGAACCCTGTCTGTTCAAGGTCCATCTCTTTTGATAAAGGCAGTTTGGAAAAAATCCATCCATCTGGTTGGTTTTTTTGTTTTGTTTTAATTCACTCTGTAGTCTTCCGCACCACTACCCTATTTTCAGAGATATGCAAAAATAGTATTTCAGTCCATTTGACTTCTATTTTCAAATGTAATTTTGCATTTTTGAAAAATCAAAACCATTCCAAGGGCAAATTTTGAATTCAGCACAATAAAATTATAGTGAAGTCTTTTTCTCAGCACCACGAACCAGGTTTTAAATGAACTTGTTCTCTGTGGTCAGCAGCCTGGCATTACGTTTACACCAGAACTTGGGGAAATGGTTCTCTAAATGCAGCCTTTATCTCTAAGTGGTCTGGTTGGGGCAGGGAGTGGGGTAGGGCCCTGAGCATCTGTGGTGTGGCCCTGACTTCCTCAGCCTGGGATGGGGCCATGAGCATCTGCAGTGTGGCTCTGACCTCCTCAGCCTGCGGTGGGGGCCGTGAGCATCTGCAGTGTGGCCCTGACTTCCTCAGCCTGGGGTGG